CTTGTACTGTCATTCAACTTTTCCCATGTGTAGTAGCTCTCCAAATAGCACAGGGACCACAGCTTTGCTGCCTCAGGTTGTGGCTACTCCCCACAAAGCTATTATTCCATAACACATCTCTTCACTTCATTTATAGAATCTACAGTAGGGTTGAAAGGCAGTGCTTAGTGTAGGGAACACTGTTCTAATAATTTAATCAGCATATGCCATCTAAGTACAGGCTGTTGTAGGATATCCTGGCTCCATTGACCTTCTAAAGCAATTTGTCTGTCCATTTGTTTTTCTTTTCTTTTCTTTCTTTTTTTTTTTTTTTAATACTTTAAGTTCTAGGGTACCTATGCACAACATGCAGATTTCTTGAAGGATGACTCCCAAGTCTCTAGGGTACATTTCACCTCGGCCAGTGGTGCTGGCCTTTACTCCTCTACCTCCTCAAGCTGTCCCCGCCACATTGTCCCTGCGTCCATTCTCCTGCTTGGGTCCCATCCACACTCACCTGCCCTTCCTTCCAGAACAGCCTCTTCCAGCCCCTCTCCACAGGATCACACTGGCCTGAGTCAGGAGGTCAGTGACAGCCACTTTCAGTTTCATTTCTCTCCCCAACAAGTCAACCACTGGGGGAAGTTTGAATGTTGACACAGTTCATCTGGGTCCCATTGTGCTTCCCCTCAACAATGCCAGGTGGGTGAAGGTCCAAGGAGTTCAGGCCTGTTCATTACTGCCAAGTGATCATTCAAAGCCAGCAAGTTATGTCAGTTACAAACGAGCTACAAAAAATTTTGTAACAAAGGTAAAAGTAACTCCTATTAAGTTGTATTTTATATATATATAATTTAAATTATAAAATTTTATATATAACTTATAAAACTTTATATATAATTTAAATTATAAAATTATATATATATATGTGTGTTTGCTGCCTCAGATTGCGGCTGCTCCCTATTATTCCATAACACATCATTTTTCATTTATATATATATTATATATATATATAATGAATGGAAATTGGAAAGAGCTGAAGGAATTCTATTTTCTTCTTGAACAAGGTGAAATTTTTATCAGCTGGACACACTTTTTCATGACTGAGCTTAAGACATTTTCCAATTCCCCACCGCCATCTTATTCCTCGAGTTTTGTATTATTTGGACAGCAAAGAAAGCTTTCCACATAAATAAAATGCCTTTAAATTAAATGCTTAGAATTTCACATTGTAAATACTTTTGTATTCATGACTTTCAGGAAAATCCTCAATCATTAAAATAGCCCTAAGCTTAAAACGTATTCTAATATAATCAAGGTGTTTTTTTTTTTTTTTTTTTTTTTGAGACGGAGTCTCGCTCTGTCACCCAGGCTGGAGTGCAGTGGCCGGATCTCTGCTCACTGCAAGCTCCGCCTCCCGGGTTTACGCCATTCTCCTGGCTCAGCCTCCCGAGTAGCTGGGACTACAGGCGCTCGCCACCTCGCCCAGCTAGTTTTTTGTACTTTTTAGTAGAGACGGGGTTTCACCGTGTTAGCCAGGATGGTCTCGATCTCCTGACCTTGTGATCCGCCCGTCTCGGCCTCCCAAAGTGCTAGGATTACAGGCTTGAGCCACCGCGCCCGAGTTACTGAGTCCATTTCTTAACCAGTAACTAAGCAAATTAGGAAAGTGCAACCTAATGATCCTGGCATAGGATAGAGTCAAATCACACTCACCATACACTGCTTCTGATTACTGAACAGGCTCCCTAAAGATGCTGTGTTCGTTACTGGATATTTTTTTGTTTGCAAATTCTAATTCTGAAAGATTTGTTTTACTAAAATCCACAGCATGAAGAGTGAAATTTTCTCAATGGCAACAGGGTTTTTGGTAAATGCTATTAGTTTAGAAACACAATGATATCTTTATAGTAGGAATGAAATTAAAATTTGGAGGGACAGTTTTGCATTTTTCTAAACTTAAAACCCTGATCAACTGTAACCAGTCTTTAAAATAATACAGTTTTCTTATCTATGATTTAGGAAAATATTTTCTGCATTCAGGTTAAAATTTTGAAACATGTAAAAATGGAAAAAATCCATTTTAACAATACTACTAATTTTAACAATACTACTAATTAGCATTTACTAAGCATGTTGGCCATTTGCAGACCTAAATATATTATTTACATCATTTCCATGTTACAGTGACAATAAACATACATAAGGGTGGTTTAACAAAAACTACTGGTTCTACTGCTGGTAAGAAATTCACCCAGCTTCCATTTGCCTTAGTTTTCAAAACTTAATTGGTTTTTTCTTTTTCATAATTGTTATTGTCACCTTTCATGATATTGCTGACATAAAATGCAACCCTACATCAAGGATTTTTAGCCCCAGAGGAGTAGAGGACCAATTTTTACAGGTTTTACATATACTTCTCAGCTTTTATACCATTTCTCTAGTAGAAGTCACACACTGAAGGTCCTGGGCAAAAAGCAACCTATAAATACGCATGGTTGGGCTTGTGTATTTTTGCCTTTCCATTTCTAAAAATGTAATTAGCTGCTAATATTGAAAAGCTAAGGAATGTCGCTTTTGGCTTCTATATTTTCTTGAAACTATGGCCCAAATCCCCAAAGGCCATCAATTAGCTAAGTAACTGGTTGCCCCATTAGCAAGAGCTGCCTCTGCCTTCATTACCATCCCCAGATACTCCAAGCTTCAGGCTAGTTGCTATTCATCACACAGTAGTCTGTCTTTCATCTACCCCACTTCCCTCAAATTATTTACTGGCAGGTTCCCAGAGATATTTAAGTTAGTAATTCCTGTCCTGAATTGCAAACATGATACTAATAGCGAAAACTTCCATAGTGTTTACTAGAGCTAGACAATTTCCTAGGTACTTAAAATGCATCAATTCATTAAATCTTCAAAATAACCAACAAGGTGAACACTGCATTAGTCTGTTCTCACACCCTGTGATAAAGAAATACCTGAAACTGGGTAATTTATGAAGAAAAGAGGTTTAATTGGCTCATGGTTTGAAAAGCTGTACAGGAAGTATAGCAACTTTTGCTGGGCTTCTGGGGAGGCCTCAGGAAACTTACAATCATAGCAGACGGCAAAGGGGGAGCAAGAACTTCACATGGCCGGAGCAAGAGGAAGACAGAAGCAAGAAGAGTTACATACTTTTAAGCAACCAGATCTTGTGATTACTTCACTCTCACCACGACAACACCAAGGGAGGTGGTGTTAAACCATGAGAATCTGCCCCCACGACCCAATCGCCTCCCACCAGGCCCCACCTCCAACATTGGGAGTTACAATTCAACATGAGATTTGGGTGGGGACACAGATCCAAACCATATCAAACAAACACTATTAGCATCTCCATTTAAGATTAGGAAACTGAGACACCAAGAAGTTGAGAATTTGTCCAAGGCAACACATTTTGTAAGTGGTGGCACGAGACTCCCAGACAGGGATCTGGCCAAGGGCCTGAGAATCCACCATTAAGCTTTATTTATAAACACAGTGGAAGACTCTGCATGACAATACTGACAACATCATTTCAATTCTGCTCATTACATTTAGAAGTGTGTGTCTAATGGGTGCTAATCTCTTCTTTGAAACACTTAGGAAACAAAATTTAGGTCGAGTTGTACCTCAGGTAGCTCCAAGACACTTGATTAGACAAGCAGCCCCTTCTCTAAGGCTTTGCTGCTATCTACCAAAAAACTGTCATTACAAAAGGACAAATGGCTGGTTCTCAGTCTGAAGGCACCTGCAGAACTGTGTTGTCCACATAGCAATAAGCAGTGCTCCCAAGTTCAAGAATCTTTTTAGTTATTACAGTAAGACTTATTTTGATATGTGCATGCATATAAAATTAATGAAATGCTTTACAGAAATGAAAATCTATGGATAATGTCATTTTCTATGTAAATACCATCAAATTGGACTTTTTATTACCAAGTCCTCATTTTGTGATTATGACTGACAAATGTGTGGCAATGATCCTCTTAAACATTTATATCTCAGAATTCCAGAAATTTTAAGCTATTTCCCTCTGCCCAAGAATGGACTTGAAATACCACAAGCAGTTTTGTTTTCCATGAACATGAGACAACCCACAAAACATTTATTATAAGCAGGAAACCTCTTTAGGCTGCATCTTTCAGCATTTTTCCTTTTCTTCTGTTTTTTTTTTTCTTAAATTTTTGAATTTGTTGTCTTTTTTTTTTTTTTTTAAATAAACCCTAGAAACAGATCCTTTTCTTCTTTTGTGGTGATTTACCCTTCTAATTATCTAATTATGACTTAATTTAATCTAAATAAATTAAAATGTTTGAGTTTATTACCTTAATATTAAAGATGAGAAGACAGGATTTGAACTCAGACCTGTTTGACTCCCAAATTCTGGTTTGCCCTGCTATCCTGTAATGCCTCCTAGATGCCGATTAGTCTAAGCGGTTGCTCCACAAGGCTTTTAAGCATTCAAGAACTCAACTGGACCATTTGAGGGTCTGTTCTGGGGACAGACAGTGCTTCAAGTCCTAAGGGCTCAGGACTTCACCCTCCCAGGAGGTACACACAGTACAAAGCCTAACAATTTGTCAGCATATAATCAATTGAAACCACACTCTAAAGTTAAATTAGTTCCTTCCAAATGGGGCTGACATGTACTGACCAATTAAGAAGCCCAAAGATTTGGGAGCAGAGGATGAAAAGAAACAAATTGAGAACGTATGCAGGAAAATTACTGAAGGAAGATTGAAGATGAAAATTCTCAATGGTAAGTTCTGGAAGATGCTGGAAGAGAACTGAATCCAAAACAAATATATTTATGTCAACTCAGCATTGCTCACATTTTTCTAGTCTAACAGAGCAGAACCATGAAACTGTTTGAAAAGTGAGAAGCTTCTTCTAAGTATACAAGCAAGGAGAGCATTAGGAATCGTAAATTAAAAGGACACAGGTCCTAGCAGAGAAGCAATGAAGCATTGCGGAGGGTTTCCGGGGAATTTGTGTGAACTTACAGAACTGTGGTCTGCTGTGGTATCTGAGGAATGTGGTCCAGCATCAAGTGCATGCAGCGGACGGTGCTCTTAAAGCAAAGGCACCGGCTGGGGCAAGGCAACCCTGGCAGGCACCATCTGGCCAGGAGAAAGAGAGTGGTCCAGCACAACAGTCTGGGCTCCATCGCTCCATTCACTGCTGGCCACGCGAAGCAGCAGCCGGAGGGACAGCAGCAGCTGCAGCTGCAGCAGCAACCGCTGTGGTGGTGATGGTGGCTGTTGGGCTGAGCCAAGTTTGGGAGCAGTGGTGGAAAGCGGCTCCCAGGGAAAGGACACCCCTCTGACCAATCCAGGAGGAGGGATATCACATTACAGGGCTGAGGGCACAAGGGGCTCTAGGAGGCACTAGACTCCCAGAGGCGAGGACTGAGAAGCTTGTCAATGCAAAAGCCTCTTTCTAAAACACCATGTGTTTTAGGCAGCATAATGAAAACAAACTTTCCCAAAGTTGCTTCCACTGCACATTTGATGAAAACCCCAGTCTCTTGGCCCCTAGCTGTCCTTTTGAAGCCCCAAGTTGATTAATAATGTATTCAAACAATGCAGAACAGCTTTTCTTCTTTTTTATCTGGTAACATTACCAAACCCTAAAGGGCAGGCAGAGTTCTAATCCGTTCATCTAAGTGCATATATTCTTTCCTTATTCCAAACTATGCTCTTTTTAAAAAAAAAAAAGGTTTCATTTCCTTCAATATATTCTGCTTCTGAAACTCAACACATTTCACTCATGTAAGACTCAAACGGGCTACTTCTGATTTCTTCTTTTAATATTTAACATTTTAATTTATATGCTTAAAACCACGAACTCACATACCTCCTTGAAGAGGAGACAACTGATGGACAAACCTAAGTATGTATATGTAAAGTCAAACAGGTGTGAGCTCCCTCAGGACACGCTGGCAGCAGTGGCCCTGCTGGCTGCAGACTTTTCATCAGCAGTTTGAACTGGTCATGTTTCCCAGAAGTGAGCAGCCCCTCGTTGCCGATGTGTGTGAAAACTTAATAAATATGGAAACATCTACTTTTTGGTCATTCTGTAAGAAGGTATTTTAAAACAGATTTTTGGCTTTATCTTTAAAGACTAACATTTTCAAACAAAAATGTTTTAAATACATAAAGGTAATAGAAAACAAATTAAAACTTGCATGGTCAATCCCAGATGATCAGACTAGTAGACCAATGTCAGGAGGAAAATAAGTTCATCCTTCTCTCTGCAGAAATTTTTCAGTCCCTTTACATTCTACTGTAGGCGAATACTGCCCTCTTTTGGCAAAATGTTCACATCTAAATATGTGATTCTGGGGAGATTAAGATGTAAAAAGAGCTAAAAAAACTAATCTCCATGAACAAAAATGATTTAAACTTTACGTTTGACATTGTTCACGTGACTTTTATTGTCCAAGTATACCAATAAAGCCAATAAAGGAAATTTATTCCTTTAAATCCCCCCCAACAATCACTATGTTCTTGGCAGTGCCTGTGATTTGGAGGACATAGACAAGACCTGCAGGTTTGTGCCTTGTTTGCAATTCAAAATATAAAAAACAAACAAACAAAAAATAAACAATATAAAATATAAAAATATCTTGCATTCATAAAGCAGACTTAAAAAGGGTAGGGGCTCAGAAATATGTAAGTTCGGGAGGGAAATAAAGGCAAGACATGCAGTTCTAAAAGTCATTGAGCTAAGGGTGTATACGAATTAGGTCGAAGGAAAGAAATCCTGCAAGTTTTTGTGCTTTGTTGTCAGTTCAAATTATTTTTTAAAAATCTTGCATTCATAAAGTTTTCTTGTTTTTTGAGATGGAGTCTCACTCTGTTGCCAGGCTAGAGTGCAATGGCGCGATCTCAGCTCACCGCAACCTCTGCCTCCCAGGTTTAAGTGATTCTCCTGCCTCAGTCTCCTGAGTAGCTGGGATTACAGGAGCCCGCCACCACACCTGGTTAATTTTTTGTATTTTAGTAGAGACGGGGTTTCACCATGTTGACCAGGATGGTCTCAATCTCCTGACCTTGTGATCTGCCCGCCTTGGCCTCCCAAAGTGCTGAGATTACAAGCGTGAGCCACCGAACCCAGCCCATAATGCATTTCTTTTTTACTGGAAAAAAAAAAAATACAAAAAACTTTCCACTTTAGAAATCTAAACTTATGTTGAATGGAAAAAAAAAAAAAATCTACTGATTACCAACTGTCAGTACAAGACTAAGAACTGCAAGGCATGACCCTGCTCATGATCGCAAGACCTTCTGGACAGTGACTTAGGACAACTTTCCAGCTGAAAACGACTAAATGTGCTAGATTTATTAAAATACTTTTAAAATTGTATAAATGCATCAATGTGCTATTACTGAGGAAATCAGTAAGATGTATACAAGAATCCAAAAAATGAAGTGGACATGAGTAGCCAGTAAAGTGGGTAAACAATGAAGGTCGGTGCAGCTTGAGACTGTCTGCCCAACCATGTGAAAAGAACTGCAGGAACTGGAGTAGCAGGGATACAGGAAAAAGAAAAGTCCTTTCTTAGGAGAGAGTCTTATTTCAAAAATCTCCTGCATAAAGCCACAGCCACATCTTAAGGATGAACTAGAAATAATTCTGCCCCCTGCCTCCACTTCCACCCACTCACTACACAAACCAGAAGACACAAGGAAATTGACCTATTTCAAAGCTTGCTATGGGGAGGCAGCAAACAAATCTTCCTGGAGGCATGGTACCTCCAAGGTAGCCTTTACATGGATTTTCGGGCAACTCTACTTGAATGGTACAAAAAACTTTAAGTGGAGCATTTATAAAGGTCATAAGTTGGCAGTGCTCCTGGCAAAAACAACCTGGGGCCTATAATAATTCCCACAGTTTACAATACAAGCTCAGTCAAAACCCACAAAATACAAAAGAAACAAACAGTGTTATGAAAGCTAGCCATCAAACCTTATGAGCATGAGCCCACTTTAAGCGTTCAGATACTGGAATCCAACATAGAATAGAATTAGGCAGTATTGTTTACAGAATTGAACATAATAAAGAGTAGAAGACTATAAAACAACTAGGCAGACTTGAAAATATAGAACTACAAATTTAAATATAACAAATATTAGAACTCAATGTAAGGGTTTAACAGCAGATTTAAAGCAACTAAAGAGAAGATTCGTGATAGGAAGATACTATCTAAGGAAATCTAGATTTCACTGCTGAGAAATATGAAGTTGAGATGATATTTGTAAGAAAAAACATGGCCAAGAATTTCTAGAACTGATGAAAGAGACGAACCCACACAGCTACAAGAATAGGCAGAATAAATGAAAAGATATTCATACCCAGGCACATTATATCAAACTACAGAAAATTAACTGTGCCAAGACAAGAATATTAACAATGTCAAGTAAAATTTTTGAAGCAGACAGAAATAAACACACCAAGCTATTTACTTAAAAATAAAGATACAAAGGCAGTAAAATAAGAAATAAGTCTCCACCATCATTCTTCACAGTATTAGAAAAAACAATTCTAAAATCCATATGGAACCAAAAAAGAGTCCACATAGCCAAAGCAAGACTAAGCAAAAAGAACAAATCTGGAGGCGTCACACTACTTGATTTCAAACTATACTATAAGGCTGCAGTCACCAAAACAGCATGGTACTGGCATAAAAACAGGCACATAAACCAATGGAATGGAATAGAGAACCCAGAAAAATAAGCCAAAATACTTACAGACAACTGATCTTTGACAAAGCAAACAAAAACAAAGTGGGGAAAGGACACCCTTTTCAGCAAATAGTGCTGGGATAATCAGCTAGCCACACGTAGGCGAATGAAACTGGGTCCTCTTTTCTCATCTGATACAAAAATCAACTCAAGATGGATTAAGGACTTAAATCTAAGACCTGAAACTATAAAAATTCTAGAAGATAACACTGGAAAAACCTTTCTAGACATTGGCATAGGCAAGGATTTCATGACTAAGAACCCAAAGCAAATGCAATAAAAACAAAGATAAATAGCTGGGACTTAAAGAGCTTTTGCACGGCAAAGGGAACAGTCAGCAGAGTAAATAGACAACCCACAGAGTGGGAGAAAATCTTCACAATCTGTGTGTCTAACAAATTACTAATATCCAGAATCTCCAACGAACTCAAACAAATCAGTAAGAAAAAAAAAAATCCCATCAAAAAGTAGGCTAAGGACATGAATAGATAATTCTCAAAAGAAGATGCACAAATGGCCAACAAACATGAAAACGTGAAAAAAAAGCTCAACATCACTAATGATTAGGGAAATGCAAATCATAACCACAATGCGATACCACCTTACTCCTGCAAGAATGGCCATAATAAAGAAACAGTAGATACTGCTGTGGATGCGGTTATCAGGGAACACTTCTACACTGCTGGTGGGAATGTAAACTAGTACAGCCACTATGGAAAAGAGTGTGGAGATTCCTTAAAGAACTAAAAGTAGAACTACCATTTGATCCAGCAATCCCACTACTGGGTATTACCAGAGGAAAAGAAGTCGTTATACAAAAAAGATACTTGCACACGCATGTTTATAGCAGCACAATTCACAATTGCAAAATCATGGACCAACCTAAATGCCCATCAATCAATGGGTGGATAAACTGTGGTGTATATATATATATATACGATGGAATACTACTGAGCTATAAAAAGGAATTTTAATGGCATTTGCAGCAACCTGGATGAGACTGGAGATTATTATTCTAAGGGAAGTAACTCAGAAATGGAAAATCAAATACCACGAGAACATCTATGTTCTCACTGATATGTGGGAACTAAGCTATGAGGATGCAAAGGCATAAGAATGATAAAATGGACTTTGGGGACATGGAGGTCAGGACGGGAGGGAGGGTGAGGAATAAAAGACTACAAATAGGGTGCAGTGTATACTGCTCTGGTGATGGGTGCACCAAAATCTCACAAAGCACCACTAAAGAACTCACTCATGTAACCAAATACCACCTTTACCCCAATAACCTATGGAAAAATAAAAAAATTAAAATTAAATAAATAAATAAGGCTGCTCTTGCTCATCACTATTCAGTTATACTGGAGGCCACAACTGGCAAATCTGGCAAAATAAAAAAACCAGGAGGGAAAAAAATAAAACTGTATAAAATTTATTCAAATATATGATTTCCTATAAAAAAACTAAAATAATCAAAAGAGATAGTATTGGATTTAATTAATGTATAAAAAACAATTAAAGGAATAACATACAATTTTAATAAACTACATCACTGAAAAATATAAAATATCTGCAACCAAATGTGACAAAAGATATTAGACCTTAGAGCCAAACCATACTTAATAAGGTCTAAGAAAAAAGAAGTGCCATATTCATGGACTGGGGGACTCCATATCATAAACATGTTGATTCTTGCATAAACTGATCTATAAATTCAAAGTGATTCCCAAGGAACTCCCAAAGAGGAGTGTGTGTGCGTGTATGTAATCTGAGAAGCCAATTGTGAAATTTAAAGTCTACAGTCTACAAGTTCAAGAAACTCCTAGCATATAAAGTGAAGGGATTTATCGTACTAGATCAAGAATTATTGTAAACCTCCAGTAAGTAAAATTGTGTAGTGTTGGCACTGGGTTATATGATCTGACTAATAAAACAGAAAAGAAAGCCTAGACACACATCAAAAATACATGAAAACTTACGACAAAGTTAACACTGCACATCAGAGAAGAAAAAAAAAAATTTTCAAAAGATTGTTCTCAAACAGTTGATCAATAAAGTAAAAAAAGAAACCGGACTATTATTTCTCACCATACACAAAGATCAATTCCAGCTATTGTGCAGATTTAAATGTGAAATGCAAAATCACAGACCTTCTGTAAGAAAATATAGGTTAATATTTCCATGACCTTGAGACTGAGGGTGAAGGAAGATGAATCTGGCAATTAAAATTGAAAATGTCAATTCATCAAAAAACATCATAAACAGAGTAAGAAACCATAAACTGAGAAAAGATACTTGCAACACATATAATTGACAGTGGAATAATATCTAGACTGCAAAAGGAAATCCCACAAAACAATTTTTAAAAGAAATTACTCAATAAAAAATTTTACAAAAGACTTGAACAGCACTTTGCAGAAAACCAAGAAACACTTGAAGATAAAACCCCCTTAATAAATAACCTTCATGAGTTACAAAGTTCCCTAAGAAGATATTTCATACTGCCAAACAGGCAAAAGTCTGTCATGTGTAGGTGAAGATGTGGAATAACTGGGATATTTAAACATTGCTAGAAGAAACATACTGTTAAACTATTTTGGGAAACAAATTTGCACCACCTAGGTAAAAGTGAATAGAAATGATTTCCTACGACCCAGTAATTCTACTCCTAGATGTGCACTCTAAGCAGACTCACACATGTACAGTCACAAGACATAAAAGAATGTTCACAACTGAACTATTTGAGGGGACAAAAAATGTCCACCAACAGTAGAATAAACTGTGAAGTGTGAATGTAACAGAACAACATACGACATGGGGCAATCGCAGAAAGGTAATGTGAAAAAGAGAGCTGCCGAATGCATACAGTAGGATCCTAGCATGTATGAAGCCAAATACATTGTTTAGAGATGCAGGCATGTAATAAATTGAGAACAAAAGGCAGATTATGATAAACACAAAATCCCGCCTCCTGAGCAGGGAGGGATTAAGATGTGGTTGGGAAGGGGCACACAAGAGACTGTAAAGCTATCAGTTGAACCTAATGGGTACACACATATGTACCTACATGTACACTAAATTATTTCTTATACTTCATATTTTATAAATTTCCC